AGCTCTTTATATGAAAGCGATATTTTAAAAAGTGAGTCATAGTGCAAAGGAAATGATAAACATCCTTTCTTTGCAATTTGAATTGGAAAAATTGCATCAACGGTTTCGGTCCGATTTATTTTGGTTAATGAAACGATGCCATGGCGGCGAATAAGCTCTTTCCCATCCCTTCGAACCACAAACGCCATTAAACGATAAAAATCGACACCTGTTTGCGCCGAGTCTTCGTAATTATTCGCGGATGACTGGCACGGCGGAGAAAAAATGCCTGCCTGACGAGTCCCCGGAGGCAGCGAATTAAAAATTAATTTAAGAACCGTTTTAGTATATTACGATTTGCCAAAACGCGGAACCTCCGACTTACGCAATTTTTCCCAAATTTTAGAAAAGTGAAGTGAAAGAATTGAATTGGGGATTTTTAGAAACGCCATCTGCAGCATTTCCATTCAATAACTATGTAATAAAATGTATGTACTATGTAATAAAATGTACGTAGTATGTAATAAAATCAAAACCTCCAGAAATTAAAAAAAAAATAATGCAATAAAATAATACATAATAAATATTAAGGATCCAATAGATATTCTCTAAGCTTATATCGGACAGCCTCACTACGGTGCATTACTTTTCTCGGAATAATAATCTAAAAGGTTTAAATGAGTGCACAGAAAGTAAAAAACTTCGTCCTTGATTGGAACGTCAATGTCAATTTTGAGCTTATCAATGTTTTCCATATTCTTTACTTCTTAATCGCAACATTCCTAATTTGATTATTAATTTAATATAATCCATTTAATAAATTTTTTATTAGCCTTATGGTAAAGCCAACTTTTAACATCATTTTATTTGTTTAATAAATAATTATTTAAATATTAAATTTAAATTTTTTTAAGCAAAACAATCCGACATCTTAAACTAACTTAACGCGACGCTTATAAACATTGATAAGCATAATACAGAAGAACATTGAAGGAATGAATTATGTTTATTTTTTTATATTTATAAATTTATTATTATTTTATTTCACCGCCAAGATAAAAAGCAAGGGTAGTAAGGTCTGGAAATCAGGCAGGCCAGGGCAACAAACTTTCTTATACAAAAGATAAATTTGTGTGTTGGATATCCAAAAACCAAAATATTTGGTTCAAATAGGTTAAGCTCAATTTTTTATTTATTTTAATAAAATGAAATGCTCCGTTTGAGTATTTAAATTTTTTGAAACAAAAATGTGGGTTATTTGAACTAAATATTGATTTTAAAATTTAAACTATTTAGGTAGCAATTTGAATTGAACATATTCAGTATTTAAATGGATATAATTTTGTATTAAATTATTGCTAGTCGTAAATTAGTTTTATATATTATATATTATATATCTACGGCATACAAACCTGATCATACCATTGGGGCAGTATTAAGAAACCCAAAACAAAAAATTATTTTGGAGAACCAAGAAATATACAGTGTGGCTTGCGGATAGTGCAGCTTGATGTACAGACCAATAGGAGGACTTCAGCCAGGCTCGAGGAACATCGATTAGCCATAAGAAATAAACAAATAACATCGGCTTTATTCCAGCACCAACACCAGACAGGCCATAAGACCATGATTATACTAGAGGCCATCTGCATTTTTCCAATACGTGGAAATCGATAATTAGATGGCAGAGCGATACGCAGCAACCAACGCGGATATCGCAACTACGATCGAGCGAAATAAACAACGCGACAATTCGGGGGGCGGAGTCGTCTCCCCTCCCGCAGAAGCAGCACCGTTACCACCTTCGGCGCAGGTTATAAATACCGAACGCATCGCCGATAAGCTCCCAGTGTTCGAAGTGTTTTTGGTGCGCGAGCATTGAAGATTCCAAGATCTCGAGAAAAAAGCTTCGTCAAGACAAAAAAAAATGTGATCCGCATCTACCTTGGAATATAGTCAATATTCAAGTCCAAACTTGTGTTTTTAAAGTTGAATGTGGACATAGGCAAGAACATTAGGGAAGAAATTATAATGGAGGAATTTCTTGGTCTGATTTATGCCTAATCTATGTCTATTAGGGTGCTTCATATTTTTTTATCTTTTTTTAGCTCCTATCCCTTCAAATGTTTCTTTTTGATATAAAAATATCGTCACCAAAGATGAGCCCTGTACCTAAACTATAAGGGGTCGCTATTTTTATTTTAGTTTCAGATTTACCGACATTTAAAAATTACTAAATTTTGAACTTTTCAGAAATAGCTTCTAATTATTTTTTATCCACATAACTTCTCAAAATTTTTATCCTAATTTAATGTTTTATTTTTTATTTTAGATTTTAAAATGGTTTTCAGTACGTAGTGTAGGTGGCGGATTATAATAGATCATACGGTAGAGTTGTCAAATTATCAGTGTCTGCAACACATATATTAAGAAATTATTGTGTATTGTCATTCTTTAAAGCTCTCAGTAATTTCAATTATTATCAGTCAAATGGCTCAAAAGAAAATTTATTTGGTTGATTTTCCATGTAGAAAATTAAGTAAACGAAAATTACTGAGTATAAGAAAAGTTTTAAAATTATTTTTGTACAAGCATAAGATTTTAACCTCACAATTCATTAGAGTCTCTGTATAAACTTCTAAGTTTGCAGATTAAAAAAAAATACTAGTTCGATTTGACATTTTCCATTCTTCATTTAAATATTTAAACTGAGCTTCTGTTAAAGAATGTGAGAGTTATGATTAGATATATCAAACAAATTCTCAAGGCGGTTTTTTGATGTATGCTCTGTAATTTTTGTTTTATTTTTTTTTCAAAAGTTCCGATAAACTTTAATGATTTTAGTAATAGGGTTATATGGCTGACAGACGGGAATACCAGTAGGTTTCCAAAGTTTCATAACATCACGAATCACTTCATCAAAACACTGTTGAATTGTGACGTTAGAATCTGTACGCTTGCACAAAAATAATTGTAAAATTTTTCTTATACTCGGCAATTTTCGTTTACTTAATTTTCTGCATGAAAAACCAACCAAATAAATTTTCTTTTCAGCCATTTTTCTTAGTATATGCGTTGCAGGCACTGATACCATATGATCTAATATAATTAGTACTGCCACTTACACTACGTAGAAATAAAACACTGACTATTAATTAGGATAGAAATTTTGAGAAATTATGTAGAAAAAAGAATTTTTCCCATATTAATTAAATCTGAAACTAAAATTAGAGTTGAGCTACAGGGCTCATCTTTGGTGAGGATTTTGTTTTATATCAAAAAGAAACATTTGAGAGGGTAAGAGCTAAAATACAAATTAAAAATTTTTTTTTGAAGCACCCTAATTGTCTATGTCCACTTCGCGTTCTTTCTTCTGGCTAATGACGGCGTTTTGAACTTCTCCAGTTTTTAAACGAACGTTGGCTCACACGTCCGACAATATCGTAAAAATTCCGAAGGAAAAACAGGCGTAAAACGTCAATGGGGAAAAAAAAGAAAGGAAAACGGGCTAGCTAATCGCTCGAAAATTGCGGTGTTATGCGAGCCCGTTCCAGTGAGCTAAATAAGGTTTTTTTTTTAACCGCTCGTTATAATTGCAACGATCTCGCGAAGAATTTAATCGCGGTAAGGATGTCCGTCGTTATAAGATAATAAAAAAAGAAAGGCTATGTTTATTGGGGCGAGATTACGTCTGATAGTCGACCGAAAAAAAAAACGGGAACAAATACGGGGTGTCTCAAAGTATATCGCTTGGGCTCTGGCGTCATCAGACCAGCTGACTAGTCAATATCATGGGATGGAAATATATAGAGCGTTAATAAATTGGGAAATTATGAAAATGTTTCAAAAGAGGAGTGCGATGATTCAATATTTTTAACGTTAAATATACAGTGTAAAATCTTTGTTTGTGAACCGAGATTGATTTTTTTTTGTTGGTAAAACTTCGAGACATTCACTTGTTTTTGCTTATTGTCTCAACTTAACAAAAAAGACAAGTGCTATACCAATTTTTCTAATGTTTCAATACAGGGTGTTTGAAATATCGTTTTTCTACTCCCGTCTGCAAAATACCTAATTACACACCGACATATCGTGCGGGAAGCGTCACTTCACCACGTCAGTTTCGTTTCCCACGGATCCGAGCCACTTCGGACATTTCCGCGATTTTACCGCACGGGTTTGGGAGCAATCAGGTGTTTTCGGAGATTTATCCGCACGGTTTGAATATTGAATGTTGGTCATGTCAGAGAATGTATTCGTGTTGTTTTGCAAAAATGTACCCGAAAAGTAATACACCGAAAAATGTGATTTTTACAGATTTTATATTAATATCTTGCCAAGACCAATTGTACGATTTTCAAATATCCATGTATCACCACTAAAAACAAAACAAAATTGAAGGTTAGTCTATATATGGTGGTTTAAAGAGAACAATGCTTTATGAAGTTTTTGTCAACATAGCTGTAGCTGTTTCTTGAAGCATTTTCGTATTTCCCAATTTTTTTTGAATCCTGCATTTAATTCTGCATTCTCAATAAGTACAATTTTTATGGCCGCTAAATGAACAATAAAGATTTTTTTCCCTTTGGGGACACACTGTATCAAAAAAAAAATTATATACAAATTGTATGGTATCTTATGGTATTAATTAAAACAAACGACTGCCGCAAATGAAAAATATATCGACAACTTGTCTTTTTCTAACCAAAACATCCTGTGTGCTTAACATTTTAAGTTTTTAAGAAGATTTATTGAAATAATTTGAGTTTATTATTCAAAAATAAAATTTAGTAATCACCACAATCATTGACGCATATTCTAGAAAGATCAAAAACACGAAATAATTTTCCTTTTTTATTGAAACAATGAAGACGCATCCAATTCTCGGTATTCAATTTAAAAAAGTTAATTTGTTCATTTGTTTTGTTGGGAACAAAGTTATACGATTCTGCCCTATGCAAAGGACACAAATTCATTGGGATTGTTTTATAGAGCAATTAAAACAATATTTGTCTACTCACCTTCGACAGGCTTGATGGCGGATTAGAGGGATAAATGCGGAGTACCTGAAACAAGAAATAATCGAAGATTAAAAAAAAATCTATATTACCCATTTACTTAATTAATTTGCTGCGGCAGTTGACGAGTTGAGTGAACCTGTTTGTTAAACATTTTCAATTCCAATCGAGTTGGTTAATTAATAAGAGTCAATTTTTACTTCCAAGTCGAGGGACTCTACATTTATATGTAAAATACACCTTAATTAAATTTTGTCCGAAATTATGGAAGTTACCTTCCGACGGCAACAAAACTCGGGTCCGGTAGGTATTAAAGGATTAAAGGAACATTAGGAACGAACTCTCAAAGATTTTGGAAATTTTTTTTTTTTGTTTATTAATGCATTTATAACTATATTTTTAAATCTAGTTTTGTTTCACTATCATTGAGATTAATTGTAATATGATTTACGTTGTTTTGTATTGAAATGTAAGAGTCCTCAATTTTTATACCGTATCGAATTTTTGAAGCCCTTGATTGCTATCTTATTAATTACAGATTTTATCAAATTTATAACACCCGAACTAAAAAACGATAAATGTCCGAAATTTGAAGCAATCGATTTCAGCTTTGCCCCGTGACGGAACTTATTGAAAATGGGGGGCTGGGGTATCGGAAAATATTCTAAAAAAAATAATATCTCGTGTGCCAGGGTCTACAAAAAAGACGATTTTTCAAAAAGCGGTTTCAAGACCGAAAAAAGTCTTGAACCAGGAGACGCAGAGAATACGGCTCCATAAACTTTCATTCTTGACAATTTTTAAAAATACAGGGTGTGGCGCAAATTGAAAAAAAAACTTTAAAATGGGGAAAATCGGCAATAATTTAAAATCCGCGTTTTAGATGTCGGTTTCGTTTACATGATGATATAGCCCGTATAGACAGCTAAATCTTTTGTATTTATAGGTTTGTGCAGGGTGTTCGCGATATTCCGTGCAATATTAAAAAACTTAATAAGCTCCCCAAATTTGCAGCTACCGAGTTCAGACTTGGCAGAGAAGTAGAAATCCGTACCCGCATTTAGACTCTAAATTGGGAATAAAATAACGCAAAGTTTTTTTTTTAATTTTCGATTTTTTTTTTTGTTATTTTGGCTTTCAGAAAAACTTCTTTTCCTCCAAAACCATTCATCCGATCGGAAAAATTTTACAACCGTAATACGTGGGGGATGCGGCGCTATAACTCTTGTTTCACGCATTTTTCGATGACACACAAGGTGTTTTAGTTACGTACACAAATGTAAATGACCCTGAAAATTGATCTTTTAGAAATAGCTAATCCTTTGAAACAGTGTTATACGCTGAATCAAGGGCTATAATTTTTATATTTACGATTTTCTACTGTTACCTACGCTCACGAGATATTTGAAAAAATCTATTTGAAAATTGCAATATCTCGCACTCAATCTAGACGCGATGACGTCATTCACTATTACTGTTTACTGCATAATTTCAGAAAAGAGTTATTATTTATCCCATTGAAAAAATTCATATCTCGGGAAATTTCGGAGATCTAGGGCGATAACTTTTACTTGCGGCATTTTTTAAATTATGTACAGGGTATGTCGAATATTTGTAAAAAAAAAAAACAAAATTTACGTTTTCGTGGGTAAAAAAACTATAAAACATGGGATAACTTGGTTTAAACAGTGTCGAGAGAGAGTTTCAAGTTTCGTCTATCACACAGGGTGCGCCAGATAATTGAAAAAATATAATTGGGAATCGCTATTATTTGTAAAAAAATTTGAATTTACCAAAGTTTGCCGTAACTTTAATGTTCGCCGAGATGTGAAAGAAGCTTTATCCAAGGTGCATGCGCAATAAAATTATATTGACAAGAAACTGCGAGGCGGCTTCTTTTGGAAATAAAAAGCTGCTTCTCGCGACGAACTTGCCCCACCCAGTGACGATTTTTCGAAAGCAATCTTGTTTAATAAGACCCTCTACTGAAGCGACAGATGATTTCGATGCTACATTCTCATAAAATATTTTTTTGTGTCATTGACGGATCGAACATGTTGAGAGATTTTTGGATAATTGGACTTTATATTTCTTTAGAACTCAAAAGAAATTTAGAAATTTTTGGCCAAAAACAAAACCACAATCGTGCCGCGGACACCATATTCACCGTTTGGAACGTTCGTTGATTATATATAAAAAAACTATAAGCTCTCTTCTGTCCCCTGACTAAACTTCCCTCTAAAAAAATATCAGTTTAAAAAATCGCCTGTAAACTGGTTTATGCAAGATCTTAAACAACTCAGAAATCATGTCCAGGCTGGTCAAACTATAAGTTTGGTCTCAAAAACAAACTAGTACAGTGTGATGTGTGCCCTAATGACAGTGTATTATGCTTTATTTCATTTCCACATATCATATGGCACAATATTATGTAGAAACTCTGTCGAATTTTGCAGGATACAGAATAGGGCTATAAAAATTCTTGCTGGGGCTAAACACAATGAACACTGTACTCCATATTTTAAAAAATATAAGATCATGACACTTCTCCATAATCTTTAAGAAATTCACAAACATACTAATATATTTGAAGGTGTGTTTCATACTTATCCAACACGTGAAAAAAATGTTAGAAGAGTTCCAAAGCAGAAACTTGTTACATCAGACAAAAATACTTTAAACATTAACTTGTACAATATGCTGCCAGATAGGTACAGACATATGAGGTGTTCAAAACAAATATTAAAGTGTTGCTTATTGAAAATTTTTTCTATAGTGTGGACGAGTACTCCATCAAAATAAAAAAACTAAATTAAAATCCTTGGCTTTCTGAAATGTGTGAAGCTCATAGCATCTTGCATTTTCTGCACGATTTTTATGCTCCGTGTTAGTGTTGTTGACCTTTACCACTGCGTTATTTGTAAAATACGTTTTCTTTTTATACCTTTATACTTTTATTTTAGTTTATCTTATATTGACAGGCTGCAATTTTATTATTATTGTACAATATGTGGTTAATAAAAATTCGTCTTCTTCTTTTATATATTTAATTTTTCATTTTTTAAATAGACACTAGGCTTGCTTCAGGACACTTTCAAACCCCGCCCTGATCCTACAGGCCAATCACCTGGAAATCACGATAGCAAAAATTTACAACTCGCGTAAATAACGTCTCCGTTGATGTGAATGTGAATATACCGATCGTTTAGTGCGCGTAAATTCTCCGGGCGGGGTTTATAACAGAACCGCACGAATATGGTATCCTGTTGAAATAGTCTCGCAATAAAATCGAATCGTTCTCGCTTAAACTACGGATGCTTTCCGTAGGCAGAAGCGATTTATTTAACCGTAGTTAACGAAACAAAACTAAAAAGGATAAAAAATAAAAATAAATAAATAAACAAATATGTGACAGAGCGCAATGCAGTAATAAGCATTAAAAAGTAAAATATCCTTCTAAATTATGGAAGACAAAAATTTTGTTTGGATTTTAAAATGTTTATGTTACTACCGCTTTTTAGGTCTGGTATCTAAAGTTTATTGTAGACTCTAACACTGGTGTTTGTTAATTTTTTTTTTCAAAATTTTAGTCTATTTTTTTTAAATAGAGAAACAATCTTCTTATATATATACCGTGTGCCAAATAAAACGATCCGCTCTACAACTGGAAACGAAAAAAAGTTTTGTCAAAAGTTTCTTGGACTCTCGTGAGGGTTTAAAATATCAGAATTTTGTTGATGCAGGGTGTTCCGCAAGTGTTCCCCGACATCAATTTGCTATTTTAAATAAAATACGCTGTATATTTCGACATTTTTAGAATCCGTGGTTAAAATAAAGGTCATTTTGTTAAGAAAATTCAACCACAGACAAAGGAGATGATGCACTACTTAATCAGTTTGACAGATGCTCCTTATCTTATACAGGGTGTCCCAAATAGGTGGTGCCGTTTTGGTGAATTCAAATAACAAAATTTCCAAATGGAACACACTATATTTTTATTCAGATATCGGTTCTAGGAGAAAAAAGAAAAGTTTGTAACTTATATTTAACTTTTAGTTAGTTTTTGGGATATGAAAACATCTGTATTAAAGCTGTCCACGTTAGGCTATATTACGTATTTTTAAATAACAAAGACATGATACTACTTCTTAAAGATACAATGCTCCACATATACGAATAAAACCTATTGATAGCAAACCCTGTAGTGTCCATTAATAAGTGGAAATTTTGAAAAAAAAATCGACTCTATACTACACACTTTAACAGAGTTAATAAAACTTCAGAATTCGTATTTAAAGAAACATTGAATAGTTAATTATCTAGCTTGATTGAACATACCGAATTACAAAAATAAATAATTAAAGTCTATAGGTTAACCAAAAAACAATAAACTAAGCTCTTTCATCCTAGCTAAAAATATTTATACCGTTATATTTGAAATTTAGAAAAATAGCTGTTTTTGACATGAAGCGCCCTCTACCGACTCGTTAAAGAATTGGCATCGCGTCGAAGCTCCTATAAATACTCTCAAAACTAAACTAAGTTCGTCGAAATCGGATTAGCAAAAAAAAATATGTTCAACTTTTTCAAAACCAAAATTGTTGAAACAAAAAAGTTTCCTTATCTAGACTAAAGTACGTTAAAACTAATTTTGTTAACATGTAAATGAACGACAAAAACGTAATTCCGCTTAAAACGCTAGCTGGGTTTTCTTTTTCGGCTAATTTAATACTATTTCTGACCCGTTTCCCAAGTTCTCGATTTTTTTTAGACGCCCATTGTTACCAACATTAATAAAGAAGCGGTTTTGGTGATAAAAAGATCGTCGTTGTGGCGATTGTTGCTCGCTAATATAATCGGAACGAAATGTACACTTATTTCCTTTTCTCTTTAAAAATTTAAATTTAAAATAAGATATGCAAGTTAACTAAAAAAAAAACACTTGAAAATTGAAAGCTGTACTATACAGATTTAATAATAAGTAGAGGGACGATTAAATATCTCCAAAACGGCCAAAGCTGTAACGATAAAACTCAAAAACAGCAACG